TATGTTTGTTACACAAAGTCTTTAAAATTTTCAGAAGAAAACGTACAGTATTTCATTGAAGCTCATCACTGGACAGAGCAGCAGAAGAGCGTGAGTGAAGTGCGTTGCGAGGGAATCTCTCCCAGCCGGCTGAGTTGGCCGGTCGACCGACTGAGTTGCACGACATGGCAACCGCGCTTAGTCGGTTTCGAGACTAGCGCCGCCTAGGATCTAGTCGGTTTTTCGGCCAAAAATTGTTAACACATATTAGCATTGCGTGGGGTATCTGTGTCTATACTCCTTTTATCTATGCTATAATACTCCAAAACCAAAGTACCTATATTTTAAAAAACTAGTTTCAATTTCTTATAAAGGGGTATTTCAGCTTTAAAAAAATATATAGGTGTATGGGAATTTTTGAAAAGAAAATTGGGTGATGGTTGACATTTCTATAGCCGGGTTTACACGCTACGATAAAACGTAACGATTTGTCTGCAACGACAAAACGTTCATGCAAGACGGAACGTGTAAACTGGAAGTCGTTACGTTTTGTCTGAGTTGGAGTGAGGTTGGAAGGTTGGTGGAAATTTCCACCAATTTCTGTAGATCGTAGCGATTTACTATAGATCATAGCGACAAGTCGTTGTGTGTAAACGGCGACTCAGTCATCGTTGCATACTGTAGACCCTCACTTGCCGATGTCGCAACGTTTGTTGAGGTCCAGTTTACTGTATTTTATGTTGTGTTTACTGTTGATGGTATATTTTGTAGTGTAGTTTTAGCAGTGTTGTTTTACTGTTTTGAGTCAGTGTAACATTTATTTGTCACTTAAAATGTCAGACATCCGTCAAGCCTCTCCTGATTTTCTCATAGACTTAATTGAACTGTACAAGAGTTTCCTTGCTTGGCAAGTAAAAAAATAAAGACTATTCCGACAGGAACAGGAAAGAACTTTTTCTCTTGAAACTTGCTGCAACAAAAATAACGTGAACAGACCATATCAGTAACTCATCCATCGTCGAATATACGGGCAGCCTATATTAACTACTTCACAACAAGAGACATCAAACGCTAGTGGTTGAGTGGAGTCAAAGTTGGAGGAAAAAACGGAACGTGTAAATGGACCGTCCAACCTACGACAAAACGTAACAATTAGTCGTTGCAGACAAGTCGTTATGTTTTATCGTAGCGTGTAAACCCGGCTTATGGAAATGCCCATTAGCATAAGTTAGTCCAGTTAAGAAATTGTACCCTAAAAGTTTTACATGCGTCTAAAATCATTGATTTCTAGAATTTTTCTTGATTTTCAAACACGATTTTCAGGGTGAAATAGGTGTTTCCCCCAAAAGTGCCAATGGTAAAAAGTGCTTAAAATAGTCTAATTTAGGTATATAAGGCAAAAAAAGTTCAATATAACATGAGTAGTGTAAGTGCAGTTTTACCTGAAAGTAGAGCGTGATAAATTAGATTAGCAATAAAACCGGAATTTTACCACCTGTACATATAACTAGCGTTAGGCAACTGTTTAGATGTACGGCCCAGAGTTTTACCCCCGGACTTTTACCTCCCGGAATTTCACCCCCGGATATTTATCCCCCGGAATTTGGCCCCCTGGCCAGATTTAGAAATTTTTAAGAATAATTAAGTAGGTAATTTTCTTCTTTCAGTTTTAATTTAGCCTAATAGTAAACATTTTTATAATTAAGTAGCCTATCTTAATTTATTTGTAATCTCAACTAAGTAAACAGGTTTCGCTTTTTTATTTTGATATTCGGGATTTGGGTTTGGGACCAACTGTTGGTTAATATGTATGTAGCCTATAATAAACTAAATACCGTATCTCATTTAAATGATAATTGGGTAAACAATTCTTAAACAATTCACTATACCACCACGGAAAAACAATTTATTTCGTTTCTAACAATAACACAATATGCATTTTTGTTTCTTCAGGCACAAACCATGAGCTATTTATGTTTTGTACTGAGGAAATACCTGTTGTAAAATGTAGTTAAGTAGGCATCCGGTACAATGTATTCGACCAATTGTTGTGTTGATTACTGCAAGGACACCAAAATGTTTGTATTTACATAGGTCTATTAACAGGGGCGCACCCAGACTTTTAATTTGGGGGGGCTTCTTAAGTATGTACCTTGCCGGAGGGTCTGGGGGGTACAAGTAAAAGATATTTTTAGACGGTGGAAAATCATTTTTTATTGTAAAAAATATGTTTTAAGTCAGGGTGTTTAAACCCCTATACCTCCCCTGGATGTGCCACTGCTTGACTTGACAACATCACAACAAACACTGTAACAAACACAACACTGTGCAAGTAACAAACACTGTGTTGCGGCGCTAGTCTATCTAGCCTAGCGCTGGTCGTTAGTGGCAACGGCTTGTATGTATTAGGCACTATCACTACTGTATGAGGCAGGTGGGTGAAGGGAGAACATGCAGCCTGCTGTCTCTGTTTGTCTGCATAGGCATAAAAATACTCGTTACCAAAACACGTGCTCCTTGCTGTATTTAATTTAAATCCTGTTGTAAGAATAGTTTTAAAGTTAATGATATTTTAAAAAAATTGTGAAACATTTACTTATAGCCTATACAGTTGATTCTGACCCTCGTAAAGAGTTAACCTAGGCCTTGGGGGGGCTTAAGCCCCCCAAAACCCCCCCCCCTGGGTGGGCCACTGCATATTATCCAACAGTTGGCTCCAAAAATTGATTCGCAAAACTCTATATCAAAATTAAAATTTAAAATCTGTTTACTATCTGATCTGATCTATCTGTCTGTATCTGATTACTTAAGGTTACAAATAAATTAAGATAGGCTACTTAATAATACAATGTTTACTATATACGAGGCATGTTTTTTAAGTAAGTACCTACCGTTTTTAAATTTCTCCGTTCTAGTGCTGCAATTGGCATTTCGGACATTTGTGCTGTGTATGTACATCTATTGGCAAGCCTGCGCTGGAAATTCGGCAACAATCGGCCGTGTTTACATCCGGTTTCGAGCTTTCAAAATGGTGCCTCCAATTGAGACTGCCGCGGACTGTGTTCGTGCTGTTATAAGATTTTTAAGTGCTAAAGGTGTGAAAGCCATTGAAATTTATCGACAGATTAACGAAGTGTTTGGTGAGAACATTATGAGTGACCGAATGGTACTCATCGGATAATGATGGGATCGTACCGTCTGTTCTCTCTCACTTTTTCATCGACTTTACGCACCAATTCATCAGTAATGACAGATGGCCGCCCAGTGCGTTGCTCATCATAAACATTGGTGGGGCCGTCTTTAATTGCCCTTACCCTTTTTCGTACCATCACGTCACTCATAATGTTCTCGCTATAGACTTCACTAATCTGTCAATGAATTTCAATGGCTTTCACACCTTTAGCACTTAAAAATTTAATTACAGTGCACACTTTACAGTCGGCGGCAGTATCAATTGGCGGCACCCATTTTGAACGCTCAAAACTGGATGTAATTACGGCCGATTTTTGCCGAATTTCTGGCGCAGGCTTGCCAATAGATGCACATACACGGCACAAATGTCCAAAATGCCAATTGCAGCGCTGGAACAGAGAAATTTAAAAACGGTACTTAACTAAAAAAACATGCCTCATAATTAAAAATGAACGAAAAAAATGAATTATTCTTACTTATTTATCTAGCCAGGGGGTAAAATTCCGGGGCTAAAAATCTGGGCTGTACATTTTAAGCTGAGCTCATTAAGGGGGTAAAAGTATGACTGTAAAATTCCGGCCCTTACACTCTAGGTTTTTATAATTTGATGTGTTCTGATGAAATTCACAACCGTGAAAATATACCTATGTTTAAAACCACCTTTTTCCATCGAACTGATGTTGTGCAACTCAAAAGTTTGCGGCCGGAATTTTACCCCCTGGTTTGTGACGTCAGTTTTGCCCAGGGGGTAAAATTCCAGGGGGATAAAAATATGCTACCCCTAAATAAATACCATCAGTTCAATTAATCAGCTAGCCTAAAATCAAAACATGTAAATTAATATATGTGCCTATATTTAACACAATTTTCAACATTGTAGTAAGTTAGTACACAAATAACAAAGCCTGTGTCCACTACTTAGTAAGTTAGCCTATTTAGTTTTTTCAAACCAAATGGCTAGTACCTACTGTAGTACCATTAACACGTTCGCTACTGAGCGTCGCATATATGCGACGCCGCGGTCATTGCCACAGACCGAGGTATACATGTGAATCTTACACATAGACCGACTGTCACTTGGATAACAGTACACACAGACCACAGGCGAAAACCTGTAAAACAGCGATAATTTACATTGTAATACGCTACAATGGTGTTTGTAGATAAATTATTCTTGTTTATTTGTATTTTTATAAACTTTTGTAATGTCGCATATTTGCGACGCCTGGTCTACAGCGAAGACAATAATGAAAATTATCATAATTTTCTTGCAATAGACTAAACGTCGCATATATGCGACAGTTCATTTTTTTGTGTTTTAAGGTGAAAGTAAGTAAAGAAATAAACAGATTATTCAAGAACAGTTTATAACTGAACAAATATAAAAGCTACATAGGATAATGCAGCATACATACTGCATACATACATACAGTGATGCAGAAAAGTAAAGACCAGTTTTTCCAACTATTATATGACGTCACCAATCATCATATCCACTGACCAAGCGACGCAGTTGTGCGTCAGACATCTCTGTAGACCACTGCAGGGAATTCAGTGCCTTCAAATAGACCACTACAAAGATATAAGCATTTTAATATCATTACAACCCCGACGCAATGCGTCGGGAGTCTATTTTAATGTGACTAGCCGTCGCATATATGCGACGGCAGTCCATGGGTGGAAACCGGCCGTCACATATGTGCGTCGCTGGTCCATGTAAATGGAAAATTTCGTACTATTGCAGTAGCGAACGTGTTAACCATTGAGCAGCGAAGTAGAGTACTGGCGCTAATCAATTGTACTGTAATAATTTCTTTTAATTTGTGCAGTAATTTCTAAATGGCGGACCCAGCTCTACAGACATTTTGCTGTTACCCGCCAGATAGAGCCAATATTAGTCCATCAGTAATGGTGCTTATGGAGTTCAACTCACGGTCTTACAACTTGGTTTGCTTGATATCATCTTTAATTGGCATACTTGGAGCTGCTTACCAGGTAACTTAACTTTAGTCGTGTTACATGTAGGGTCTGCTTTTTAAGTGTATAATCTATCAAATGTTAGATCGTTAAATAATGTAGCCTACCGGTAATGCTTGACTTTGCATAATTTAACTTTTCCTTTCGTTATGGAATGGGGGTTGTTGTACCGGGTGTCCGAAAAAGAACTGAAACATTTTAAAGGCAAATACTGATACCAAATAAGAGACTATGTTTAATGTTTTATATGTGTATTTAAGGCTTAAACTCTCAAGTTTTAATAGAAACTTAGTATAACTCAATATGAGCACTACTAGTGGCCCGGCATAAATTTAAGTGAAATTTGACCTCTTCCCAGGTATTGGTCAGTACTTCAGGGGATGTTGCACCAACGCATGTCACTATTCTCTGTCGGAAGTGATTCAGATCCCGAATCTGCACCAAGTAGACATAATTCCTTACTGCCTCTCGAAGGAAAAAGCCCAGAGAAGTCATATCTGGACTTCTAGGAGGCCATTGTATGGGCCCTTCCCTGCAAATCCACTGATCGTCGAAACGAGTATCTAGCGCTTCTCGCACACGCAAACTATAGTGTCATGGCGCTCCATCCTGTTGAAAATAGATAGGGCCTTTCCCCATCTCAATGTCGGCAACTATGGGAAATAATACTCCCCTAACATATCACATTAAGTGGCACCGTTTATATCCCCTGAAGTACTGCCAAAACCTGGAAAGAGCTCAAATTTAACTTAAATTTATGCCGGGCCACTAATATGGTGCTCATATCGAGTTATTCTAAATTTGTAATAAAACTTGAGAATTTATGCTTTAAATACATAAAACATTAAACATATTCTCTTATTTGGTATCAGTATTTGCCTTTAAAATGTTTCAGTTCTTTTTCGGACACCCGGTATTTTAATTAATTAAGAAACACTTTATTAGAGTCTATTCAGGTAATAATTAATGAGAAACAACATCACGGACCCACCAAACCCTTACTTTAACAATAACATCATACTTTAACAATAACATCATCTTGTATGTTACAAAGAGTGCAGAAATACGGCACTACAGATAGACGTAATAGATACTTCAAAGAACAACACAAATATAATGTTAATATTTTAGTTGCAATTTAAGGAAAACTGTGCTACAAACATTTACTGACTTGGTTGAAATGTTGAAATGAAATACTATTTGAATTTGGGTTGGTGTAAATATTACAATGGAAAAAAGCGAGAAAGCCTGGACAATTTGATATACTAAATAGAAAACTGAATTAACACTGTGCTACATTTCTTGAGCAATCATTGAAAGAGCCGAAATTTTAAAACTATGGAAATATTGGAAAGTCATAGAACACCACTAAGTAGAAGAAATAGAAATAATGTTTTTTTTTTTAAATTTTATAATTGTTATTATGGGATGGTCGAAACCAGAAATTTCGAATCTCAAAACCGAAACCGAAACTTAAAAAAATCAACCTAAAGTTTTGATGGTTTTGAGATTCGGTTTTGACACATCACTATTATGGTCAACCTAATGCGGCTCTGAGTAAGAAAGATTTGTAAAAAAAAAAAAAAACACTAAAAAACAATATTAGCTTTTGGAAAATGATAAAATATTTACAAGAAATGTTGATTATATTGAATTTGTATGTTCATCGTGAGTATTTCCATGATATTTGAGTCGATCATTTTAAAGTCATCGGAAATTATGACTGTTATTCGTTTTAAAAAAAACGCCTGTAATACTTAGCATTGTTCGAATTCGAGCAACAGGCACACTAGTTAATTTTAAATTATTAAGCCACAGAGAAGTAAGTAAGAAGCCAAAACTAGATAATTATTCAAGTTATTGTGCTAACAGACACATATAAAATAAATATAAATGAATTTGAACGGCTAGTATTTATGGCCTCAGGGGACATTAAAACAAACAAAAGTATATTAGTCCTGGATCTAGGTCTATGAGACCTACGGTAATAGCTTATTCTCCATATGGGAAATTCCCTAAAAGGAGTGGGGAATTTGCACTTAATTGTGTTCATAGACAAACAAATGCTGTCTGTCTGGTCCTCAATAAAATTGTGCTGAAGAACTTAACAATTTGTAGATGTTACCGAGGGCAGAAGCAGTCTCAGGTCATCGTTGGTATTCAGTTACTTCTTCAAGAGGACGACACATCATTCAATGGCTAGCCTTTGCCGACTTGCTAGCTTCTTTAGGTAACAAGTTATCCTTCAAGCAGTTAGTAGTCTAGTTAAATTTTCTATTGAATGTGATATTCTTATTTTTCAAAGAGCGACTCTTAGCATGTAGCCTAAAGACTAGACATAAGTTATAATCTGTTGTTAAACTTAGTTTATGTAATTAAAATTACTTTGTGTGAGATTATAGTGTTTGAACTTAATTATTAAGTACCAGGGGACCAAGCATTTGCTTGAGGTTTTTCATTTGTTCATGAGTGTAAAAACCGGCGAGCATTAAAGGCCGTGACACGAGTGGGGACAAAAAATTGGAGTTCATTCTTATTGAAATGTATTATCAATCATTCAATAATTGTTGTTCAGTATTCATTAAATGCATGCCACCTGATCAATGTGACAGTGAGAGAGAGAGAGAGTGAGTAGATTTCACATTCCACATGGCCGTAACAATTAAACAATACAAATTATAAATGTAAACATACCTGGTTCTAAGTTCCAACTGCATTACCCTCCTCATTCCTGATCGTTTTGTGTAGCATCTTTTAATTTGTTTCTCTTTTTATTGTGTTTTATTAAAATTAACTCTTTCTATTGTGTATATATGTTACACTCAATCTCCAAATTCGGACAATGTCCAAAATCTCTACCCACTGCGCGATGTGGATAGTGTGAAATACCCACGTCGCGGAGTGAGCATTTAATTTCGGACATTGGCTGAAGTGAAATGCCCAGACCGCGTTGTGGGTAAATTGATTTACTCAAATGCTCAAGTCATAATGTTCTTCGGCGATTGAGCAAATCTAAAATACCCACAACGCGATGTCAGCAAGAGGGATTACCCACGTCGGGTTGTGGGTATTTCTAGTTTGTGCAAACGCCGACTAGTAGTCTATAAACTACCGTATACCCATAAATATACATGAAATCCACAATCACTAGGTAAAATAAATAAAATTTATGTTTGTGATTCTAATTATTTAGTGTATAAATAGCATTTTAGAAAATACAAGAAAACAGCAAATTACCGAATAGAAACAAATATAAAAAGGTCCAATACACATACATTGAAATGATGGTTTTCCGCTTTACAAAAATAGGAGTAGCCTTAGAAATACCCACAACCCGACGTGGGCAATCCCTCTTGCTCACATCGCGTTGTGGGTATTTTTAATTTCACACTATCCACATCGCGGAGTGGGTAGAAATTTCAGATATTGTCCGAATTCAGAGATAGAGTCAGTAGCGTAGCATGATGAGCTCCGTCCTGCAAAATACTCCTACTGAACAACAAAAAGAACTTAGAATGCATATAGCAGACGATCAAACTCAAGACCAACGTCGATACAATGACGTTGCTATGATATCCTAATTTATTATTCGTGCGAATCCGCACGGGTTCACCTAGTGTTAATTATGATGTATTTAAGACCCCTTTGGACAGATGGTTAACTAACTGGTTTTTTACATCCTAGATGAGTTTTTTTTTTATAAAAGCGATATTTCAAATCTGATGTTTTAAAAGCAGAATTCAATGACCCCAACTTGTTTCAGTTTTTGGTGCCATTCTAGTCATTTTTAATAATACTAGCTGTGTGCCCGTTCTACGCACAGGGATCTTATCATAGTCAGTTAAAACCTTCTTATATAAAGCACAGCAGTTGGTTTGCATACTTTCAGATATGGTGACAAAACTATTCCTTCGCAAATACAGTATCTGACAGTTTCAAGCCAAAACTAATGCTTCGCAATTAAATGTCACCCGGATCTTGTTGGTCCATATGTTATATCCAATGATTAAACTAAATAAACGGTATCAGCATTCTGACACATACTTTCTCCCATAAGTTTGTCAACAACCTTTATCATGTGTAAGCGGTGAGAGTAAATATACGGAAATGGGATTTGTACAATTTTGTTCAGAATTTAAAGGACTATAACATAATGGTTAAAAGTATTTAAGGTACTACCTCAACCTCTTAATTTAACACTTTATTCGGGTTGACATTTTCATTATCAAGGCGCTCTTGTCCTTTCCGTGAAACATTGAGAAACAAGGACATTAATGCGTTACCATCATACATACACACAAAAAGTACCGAACTTAATTAGGGAATCTGCTACGCTTTAAGCATAAAAAGGTACATATAAAATTAGTACTTGAAATCTTTGTTAATGCCATAAAATTTGATCATAACAATTTATATTTGCTTGGACCGGAGATGACTCGAAATTCTGTCGAAATGCTATCTGAATCGGTTTGCTATATGAAATGAAGTACAGTAGGCCTACTATAGACAATTTAGATTGGCAATTTGTAATAAAAATTACCAAAATTGGCCACGAACTATTGATACATAAACAACGTTCAAAGTGTTTGAACAATTCATGATGGTTTGCTGAATAAATGTTTTACTAAAATGCGTTATAGTTTTCTTAGCATAACATTTTGGAATCCAGACAGAAAAAGCAAAAATTATACAGTTAAGACATCAATTAAATTGAATAGGCCTACGCCTGTAATAAATAAGGTGCAACACCAACGATAACTAATTTGTAAATTACTGTGATGTGTTGGTACGTAAAAATGATTCTTGCTGCTACTAAAGGTTAAAAGGAAAAGAACCAGTACCGTACCAAAAACCAACGTTTACAGTTAAGAACTGTAGTACAGCCGACCAATTATATGCATTAATCAAGGTTATTGATCTCTTGGTTTTGGATTTTCTCGTAAAAAGTTATCGGCAATCAAAGTTATTTCCCATTAATTGCTTTATTTGTACACAACTCTTAATGTAAACTTATCGGTGTCAGTTTGAAAAAAAAACCTTACACAACATAACTTTCTGTTATTTAATAGATTACGTATTCTCTAAACAATGGTTGCTGGTATATATATTAAAATTATAAGGAAATGTGACAAAAATCACACCCAACGTTTTTGGACGTTTATAATTTTATTTCTTAAGTACCTAGGTAGGCCGTGTATTCTATGGAAAAGTACCGGTATCAAGGATCGTTGTCGAAAGGGTTGTTATAAATAATTGCCAATTGGGTAAGCATACGTACCACACGTACCCAAGAGAAGGGCTATGGGCCTATTGGCTGTATGGTCCAGCGATTGCATCACACGGTGAGTAGGAACTATTGACTTTATATAGTCAATGGTAGGAACAGAAAGTGACACATTGGACAATCGAGTTCAGCATCATCCGTAAACCTCTGTTACAATCACCCACTGCAGTTGTAATTTTTTGCTTTACACTTTACACAACCGCCATTGAAGAGCCGTCAATGAAGGGAACATTGTTTCTAAGCTATTGGTGACGGTTATTAGTAAATTTAAGTTTCCCAGCCGTATACAACACTGATTCAATCTTGATTCAATGTCTTCTTTCTGGTTATCAAAACTCCAAAACAATTTTATACACATATTTCTGGTTCCTGACCTGGATGATGCCTAGTGTTATTTAATTTACGGTTACACTATATTATTCCACTTGCGATTAATTAAACCCTTTATGTAATAAAAAAGTTTTTAATCTCACTTGGATGGGATTTGCCTTCAAAACGTGATCGGAAATGGTTGTGGTGTTTGTAAACAACATTTGTAAACATTTCAGTGACAGCTAGAAAAAATAATCTTAATCCGAACAGCTGTTCGTTGTTTCATAGATGATTATGTGATACAAATTGGATGAAAACTTGACAAAAATCGCACAAAACTGCATTTTTGAACGGCCGTAATTTTAATTACAAAGTAGTGAGACCATATTTTAATGGATAAAGACACTCTCGCCAATCCAGTGAATACATCAAAATGACTTGGGTCTTGATAGGTACTCTCGTTTTCCTAGAGAAGATTGCGTAAAATGCCATCTTGAGTGTGTCAGACAGACAGACAGACAGACAGAAATTTAGATGAGACTTGTTTCGGCTTCTTTAATGTATAAAACGTAAAAATAACCTAAAAATGTATGATTCTGAGCAATGTACAGACAAAACTCGAATTTTATTTATATAGATCACTGAGATGCCAACTCGATTACACGCTTTTCACTCCGGATTGATTTTCATTTTATTTAAGTTAACTTATTTCTGATGTTAACCATTTTGATCTAGTCATGTTTTTATTTACCTTTGTTAACTTGTTTCAAAATCTATTTTTCATCACCCTGCCATGTTTCTGTGCCGAGTTGCGTAACAGTTTTTTACGGCCCCCTCTCATGAGTTATTTTTAGACCACCAACACAACGAAATCAGACGTGGTTTGATGATAAAGTGAAATCACTACATCATTATAACAATATCAGTGTTTGTGAATAGTTTTGAAATAAAATAAAATTACTGTACTTTACTTTAAACTACTACTCACTTTACTTTACTTTAAATGAACTTTATTTTTAAATTCTTATCAGAATCATTCATATCAAGGAGGTTTTATATTTAATTTATTACACGTTATCAATTATTTATTAGGTTAGTTTTTATCTGTGGTTATAACCTTATACTAATATGGTTAATAATGTTAATATGGTTATTAACTCATACGCTAAAAGTTGGTTGGTTAAAAAGATTGACCTATTTTTATCTCAGGCTGAAATAGCCTATTGCATCTTCTTTATTTTATCTTTGTATGGATTTCAAGCGTTGACCTAACAAACATGTGTCTTTGGTATTGATTAATTGTGAGGTAAATTAAGATATAGGCTAACAAACAAACTCAGTAGAGAGTAGCAATATAAATATTTCTCTGTGACGGAAGTAAGATTGCATAGTAATCAATTAAACCCACGTTATAAAACGTTAAATTCGTAACCTTAGTTTGTTATCACTAAATAGTCCTAACAAAATTAAACGATAACCACATATTACAATATCATTAATGTTATTACTAGTTCAATATAATTGTCGTGTATTCCTAAGAAGGCTTTTTCAATCATAAAGTGGACTGTATGATAGGATATTGAATTTGATTTTCGTTACAAAATTATAAAACAATTGGTTTTTGACACTGATTG